AATGGATGGTGCCCGGGTTCCACAGCTCTTGCCCTCTGCCTTTGGGCAGTTGCACACTCTGAAGGAGGAGAAGGAACACAGAGAAAGTCAGGTACAAGAGCTGGAGGGCTCCTTGGCCGAACTCAGAAGTCAGATGGGTGAGTAGGGCAAGAGTGACCTGAGAGCAGGAGTGGGTCCAAAGGCCATTAAGGTGGCTTCCATTGCCTTGGGGTGGCAGGTGGGTGCAAGGGCATTGTAGCAGAGGGCAAGGGGTCTCTGCCAGGAGGTAGCAAATCTTGTCATCCCTCTGAGCATGTGTCCCTCTGTGCAAAGCAGGGTGCCATGGCTACTGCTACCCCCTGCAGGTGACTTAGTATCACTTAACTGTACTAGACTGGTTTGAAATGCTTACCTCCTCTCAGACCCTGACAGACAAGAAGCCAAGGCTTGGGGCAGGGGGCCTGACTTGAGCTCACAATGGAGCCTATCTGAGAAGCCAAGGGCGGTTCCCCTCACTGCCTGCTTCCTTTCTTAGAGGAGCCGCCACCCCCACCGCCCCCAGCTGGACCCTCTGAGGTGGAACAGCGGCTGCAGGGAGAGGTTGAACAACTGCAGAAGGAACTGGAGAATCTGACAGAACAGCTGAGGGCCCAGGTGCAGGATAATGAGAGCCTGAGCCACCTGAACCGGGAGCAGGAGGAGCGTCTGCTGGAGCTGGAGCGGGCAGCAGAGCGCTGGAGTGAGCAGACTGAGGAGCGCAAGCAGATCCTGGAGAGCATGCAGAGTGACCGCACCACCATCAGCAGAGCGCTGTCACAGAACCGCGAGCTAAAGGAGCAGTTGGCTGAGCTGCAAAACGGCTTCGTCAGGCTGGTGCGTGCGCAGCCTGCAGGCCTCCTTACCCAAGGGATGGGGTGCTGTCCACCTCACATGAAATGGTAGTGGTGTGGGCACCCAGCAAGCCAGAGCTCTGGGGCTTGTAGGAATGATCCAGAAGCCTTCCTTGCTCTGTGGGAGGAGGTGCATATGCAGGTCTGGGCACCCTAGCCACTTTAGGTCCTACTGACGGCTGCTTTCTGTCCAGACCAACGAGAACATGGAGATCACCAGTGCACTGCAGTCAGAGCAGCATGTCAAGAAAGAGCTGGCCAAGAAGCTGGGAGAGCTGCAGGAGAGGCTGGGGGAGCTGAAGGAGACGGTAAGACCTACTGCATGTGGTGCCAGCCACTGGATTTGGAGAGGGGAAATGCAAGGCCCATCACAGATTAGCTGCAGCCTGGGAGCAGGCTTGCAAGTCAGCCTATGACTGTTGTATTAGAGATGGTTATCCCTGGACTGCTCTTCGTCTGGGTCAAGACCAGAAGGTGAGTCTTTATAGTTAGAGGTTATACAAGGCTCTGGGTTCAGGCTGGATTCACATCCATTTGTTCACATGCTTCCTATCACCAAACCTGATTACTGATCTTAAAAGATGAGTTTCCTCATACAAGTGTTGAACATTAACTGAGAAAATGTCCATAGACTATTGGGCACTAGTGGTTTGTGCAGAACAATATAGATTGGTTCCGTCAGCTCTTCCATACCTAGGGCCTAAAGAGGTGAGAAAGGTGTGAGGCTGCACATAAAGGCATGGGCCCAGGGTGTGGAAGCCAGCCACTGCCTGCACTCAGGCCTAGCCTTCCTGCAGGTGGAGCTGAAGAGCCAAGAAGCACAGAGTCTGCAAGAGCAGCGAGACCAGTGCCTGTCCCACCTGCAGCAGTATGCTGCTGCCTACCAACAGCACTTGGCTGCCTATGAGCAGCTGACCTCTGAGAAGGAGGCAGTGCACAAGCAGCTTCTGCTGCAGACACAGCTCATGGACCAGTTGCAGCATGAGGAAGTACAGAGCAAGATGGCAGCTGAAATGGCCCGCCAGGAGTTGCAAAAGACCCAGGTGAGGCAGTTGCTGAGGCTGGGCCCCAGTAGGAGGACCTTGCCACCTCTGTACCTTCTCACTCTTTCCTGGCCCCTGAGGAGAGCCTGGAAGCCACCAGCCAGGAGAACCAGCAACTCCAGGCCCAGCTGAGCCTCTTGGCTCTCCCTGGAGAAGGTAAGACCACACAGGAGAGGGGAGACCCTGACTGACTCGTAACAAAACGGAGTTGATGTCTTTGGAGAAGCTTTGAGAATGCTTGGCATTCTCTAGTCAGTGGCTGGGGTACAGAGGTGGGGTCCTGAACTGTCTTCCCTTAGCCCACTCTGTCTACCTGTTGGGACTGTTAGAGGAGACAACCTACTGTCTGCCCCCAGGAGATGAGGAGCAGGAGGAGCAGGAGGAGGAGGCTCCTCGGCCTAGTCTGACCATCCCAGAAGACCTAGACAGTAAAGAAGCCATGGTGAGCTGGGTTCTGCCCTGCCCCTTCTCTTCCCTGCCTCTCTGGTCCCTTGAGTTCTTGCCCTCTCATTTCTTATCACATTTGCCTGGGAGCCAGTGGTCAGACACTCTTGCATCTGAGAATAAGTGCTCCCTCTCTACCTTCCTGCCCCTTTTATCCTAAACATCTCCCTAAGAAGTACACCTCTTCCTTGTGTGCAGGTGGCTTTCTTTAACACAGCTATAGCCAGTGCTGAGGAAGAGCAGACCCGGCTACGTGTACAATTGAGAGAGCAGAAGGCACGTTGCCGAAGCTTGGCTCACTTGTCCACCCCAGTCCAAAGCAAGATCCCCAGTAATGTGAGTGATTCTGTGTCTGAGGAGAGCAACCAGGCCCTACATGTAGCCATGGAGAAGCTGCAGGTCAGTATGTCTTTGAGAGCTGGGAGGGTGGGGCCAGCCAGAGCTCCTAAGTCTCTGAGACCTCTGTCTTGGCTCCAGAGCCGCTTCTTGGAGGTCATGCAGGAGAAAGTGGAGCTCAAGGAGAGGGTAGAGGAACTCGAACATTGCTGTATCCAGCTCTCTGGAGAGACAGACACCATTGGTGAGGCGGAACCCAACCTAAGGCAGTTGAGGTACACAGGGACAGATTGGGAGAACCTCAATGTCTGAGCCTTGTCTACCTGTCTCCCATACCCACAGGAGAGTACATTGCCCTCTACCAAAACCAGAGGGCAGTGCTAAAGGCTAGGCATTTGGAGAAGGAGGAGTACATCAGCAGGCTAGCCCAGGACAAGGAGGAAATGAAAGTAAGCCCCACACTTCTGTGGTCTAGGCCCAGCTAGGCTAGGCTAGGCTACTCAATTTGATTGCCTTTCCCTCCAGATAAAGCTGCTAGAGCTGCAGGAGCTGGTGTTGAGGCTTGTGAATGAGCGCAATGAATGGCAGGGCAAATTCCTGGCAGTCTCTCAGAACCCTGTTGATGTGCCCACCCCAGTGCCCACAGGCTCCCAGGGATTTGGAGCTGCTGACCAGCAGGGTGGTGAGTAGCGCCTTTGGCTTGGGCAGGCACAAAGGGGAGTACTCCCATAGCATGTAGAGCCCTGACACCCCCCTCCCCTTTCTCTAAAGACCTTAGGGAGGTGAGCCTGGCCGACAGTATAGAGCCTGCACAAGGAGCGCCGGGGGCACTCACTCCCCCTGAGAACCCCACTGCACAGCAGATCATGCAGCTACTGCGTGAGATCCAGAACCCTCAGGAACGTCCAGGCCTGGGCAGCAATCCTTGTATCCCCTTTTTCTACCGTGCTGATGAGAATGACGAAGTGAAAATTATGGTTGTCTAAAAGACTGGCAGCCAAAGGGTCTGCCCCAACCCACTCCCTCTTCAGTCACCCTTATCCTTATAATAATAAGGTCAGACTCCACCCCCTCAAGGGGCTGAGGAAGTAGCTCAGTTGGTAGAGTGCTTGTCTGCCGGGTCCCACCCCAGTACCTCTGAACTGGGGGTGCTGAGAATTCGAGCACTTGGGAAGAGGAGGCAGGAGAATCAGCCACCCTGGGCTACACTGAGCCCCTGTCTGAAAAAAAAAAAAAAAAGATCAGACTCCCTATATTAATGTGATATACAAACAGGGACAGGCCCTGTGCCCTCTTGGCCAGGGCGATTTTACTTTCTAAAGTCAATGATTGAGCAGACTGCCTCTCTGGGTAGCCTGGTGGCTTCCTGACCAAGCTCTCTTTAGTTGGAGGACCACAGTCCTTACTCAAGACACTGGGGCAGAACAGTTTGGCAGCATTTTCATGGCCAGGTGCAGCACAGGCTGGTAGATGCAACCTAGCAATCAGCAAGAGAGCTCCTTTGTCTTACCATCTTTCATTACCTTCCCTCCTTCTCCTTCCCACCCCTTTCTTTATTTTCTGATAGTGTCTCATATATCCCAGACTAACCCTGAGCTCACTACACACTGACCTTGTGACTCTCCTGCTCATCACTGTGCCTGGTGTTTTGCAGTGCTGAGCAGGCACTCTACCAATTGATTTACACCCCAGCACTACCTACTTTTTTCTTAAGTGTGGGAACACTGGGGATGGAACCCAGGGCCCAGCACATTCCCAGACCAACTCCCATCTTCTTAAAGGCACTTTAGGGAGTGGGACTGGGCAGCATTTCCATGGGTTCCCAGGCAGTTCCCCTAACTGCCTCTGGAAAGCATCCCACTTAGGAGGGCTTCCATCTTTTTAGAGGCACTTTGGGACAGGGAAATTGGGTACTATTCTCTCAGGCCTTATGACAATTGGGGTAACTGTATGCCAAGCAGGATAGAGGCTCTTGGGGGGGGGGGTTTCCCCTCTCCTGGTGTACATATTGTACCTGTGTACCATTTTGTATATTCTGGGGTAGGGACACCCTCTGTATTATAGTAGAGGTTGGAGCTGGCAAGTGGGGAGGAGATTCTAATAATCACTTGGGGCTGGGAAACTTATTTATTGGTAGTGTAGGACAGAGGACAGGAGGCGGAGATGGGGTTGTAGCATCCTGCTGATGCAGCTCCTCTTTATTTTGCTTTTTACTTGGGAAATAAATGGATTTAGCCATACTTCTGGGCCTAGGATGTTTCTGTCACTGGATTCTGGGGTTAGCCTCAGGTTGGCACTGAGCAGGGAATATGTCCTGCCAGCAGAAAGCAGGTCTGTGTGGAGCCCAAGGTCTGAAGTGCCTAGCAGGGCTGATTGGCACCCATCATCTGTATACTGCATACTGAAGCCGAGGGATCCCAGAAGGAGTGCCATGGGGCTACACAGTCAAGCCTGACCTATATGTAGGTGGAATACCTAAGGGTGCTGACTTCCAAGCCAAGCCTTTTCCATTCTGTCGCCCCTTTCCCCTAGCCTATCCATACATTGGGCCTGTTTTGTTCTCCTTCAGGCTGCAGGCCCCCTCAGCTCACAGGACCTGACTGAGTTCATGGTCCTGCCCCCTAAGAGTGGAAGCAGTTCATAAGATGAGGCCCTGATAAATTCACCTTATAGCACCCTAGCAAAGGGCTCTTCCTCACCCTGTGTTCAGCGCCCAGTGTTTACACCTTCCCCTCTCCCCAGTGAATAGGAACCAGCAGAGGGACACACAATTCCCCGTCATCCAGAAATGGGTTTTATTCTCAGCCAAGAGACAGCAAGATTGGTGGCTGTCAGAACCACACAGCTGCCAGTGCAGCATCCCCATGCTGCAGGATAGGGATGGCCCAGGGGATGGCTGCCCACAGGCCAAGAGGACAGGGAAACTCACTAAAGGTGGCACATTGGAGGGGGGTTGTCAGGGTGACAGCGTTCACTTATAGTTGGACCACAAGACTCCACAAGGACAGCATGATGGTTGATTCTGATACTACAGGTTAGGCTGTGTCAGCCATATATATGTATATACATATAGGTATATTTATAGATATTTATAGAATGTCGCAGGAGCAATACCACAGAGGGGCACAAGTTTTCACCAACATTACATCTGGATGTGTCAGCTCACCACTACAACAGACTAAGTCACAGATGAAGGGGACACGCTTTGGGGCTGGGGGAGCCACTGTGAAGTCACAGAACAGCTGTCCAGGCAGGCTTGGTAAGGGAGGTCTCCGAGGAGTAGGAGGGATCTGGTTAGAGGTCGAAGGGGGGCCTGGGGCTCTCAGGACGGGACGGACTTGCCTGACCCGATCGGCTGGCAGTTGGAGAGAAAGCCAGAGAGAGAACCGGAGAGAGAAAAGGAAGGAGAGCTGGTAAGGCAAGAGCAGCCACCCCCAGCAGAGGCAGAGGGGATGAGGCAGGTGTGGATGTGGGCAAGGTTCCCGGAAAAGAGGCAGACAGTTGATGAATGAAAAAGGGAAGATGGGCGGGGCTGGGTCATAACTAGCAGGTAGTCTGGGTGGAGGCTGGGTGGCCCTCTCTTGCCACACACACGGCCTCTCACACACCACCCAGGCAATGTGCCCATAGGGCCTCCCTCTTCTCTGGTCACTCTTTCTCCCATCCCACTGGCCCAGGGCCACCGCAAGCCTCAGGGAGTCCCATGTAACAGCCATGAGGCTAGAAGTGCTTGAACCAGGAGAGCAAAGCTAAAGGGGATGATTGGAGGGAGCACTGAAGGCCCCTCAGGTGGTCAAAAAGCCCAGGAGTCCACTGAGGGGATCCTGAGGAGGCTGGGAGGCAATGCCTGTGGCCACAGACTTATAAGTCTAAGAGGGGAACCTCCGCTGGCCGGGGGGCTGCAGGTCTCGTAGGTGAGGCTGGGCCCTTCCTGCTGGGGAAAAGCAGAAGGTGAGCGTCAATGGCTGCAGAAGAGCTGGGACAGATCACAGAGAGATCCTGTGGCCAGCCAGGCAGGACTCAAGCTGATTTGCCAAGTCATTTGACACTGCAGTGTGGTTAGCTAAAAGGTACAGGTCACTCCCAGAAGAGGCCAAGTGTAAGAGCTAATGGGCTGACTCTATATCTGGGGCTGAGGACATGGCCATTAATTGCAGATGTGTAATATCAAGGAGGAAGGGGAAAGGGAGTTACCTGCCCTTGCCTTGCTTGTGAGCTGTTATGGGCTGACAGAATGGCAAAGGTCTTTTTAAGTCTTCTGAACTAATCAACCAATCAGAGCCCTGGCTGAGCTAATGTCAGGTTGGGAGCTGGAATCTCTCTTGGCAGCACAATTTAGACTAGGTATGAAGATGAAGTCCTAAGGCCTCTAACCCCTTCAGAAGCTAGCCACACACATCCTAAGCCCTCAGTCCCTACACTGTCAACAATGTCTGACAGCTCCAGGGAGTACCCACTTCTACCAACATGGGCGCAGAACCTGTCCCAAGAGCCCTCATTTAGTCAAGAAGGCCTTGAGTAGTGGCGCTGAGTCCCGGGGCTCACTGGGAAGAGAAAGAGCCAGCTGGCAGAGGACAGGAAGGAGGAGTCTAGAGCTGCAGAAGGGGGAGGGGCCTGGCTCAGAGGCCCCAAGGTTGTCCTCAGCATGGAGCTGGTGCATCGAGGAGGGAGGGGGCAGACACACTTCATGCAGCAGGCTGAGAGCATAACCTACCGTAGCTGATACTCCTCAGGGGTCACTGATAGTGATTCTGAAAGACAGCACGAAATCAACAGGGCAGTTCACAAACACACAGGTGGGCCAGGCGTGGGGTTAGGGGACACACGCACGCACACGCCTGGGCGTGCACACACATGCTGTGAGGCCTCAAGGCCCTGCATGCACACGCTAACACACATGCCCACAAACACGCATACATCTCCCCTCCCACCTCCCAGTGCCCAGCACCATTGCCGGCCAATACGTGCAGCACGGATCTGGGACATGCAGCCACTCAGCATACTGAAGCACACGCATGAGCTGTCACAACACAGAAGCTCGCTTGCACACAGAAGACCTTTGCACCAGCTCCCTGCACACTCAGGCCTGGTGTGCTGACAGGGTTACCACACTGCTCCGTAAGGGATAAGGGCTTGCATTCTAGGACCCAGGTGTCAGCTCTGCCCAATAATAACCTTCCATGATTTTGCACAGCGTTAAGTCTCCACAAATCTTTCTCCAACCTGCCCCACCCTACAGCCAGCCACATTTACAATCAATATAGCAGCCCTCCCCCCCATCTGACACTACCTTGGAAAAGGAGAAGGGAAACTGAAGCCCTAGGAGGGAAGATGACTTGCTAAAGGGAAGTGGACCAGCATCTCTGGACTCCCAGTCCCAGGATATGCTCCTGCCTTTACCCTGCTGTTTCGTCATTGGAGCCCCATAGAGCAGGCCCATCCATGCCTCATTTGGTGTATGCGTTTTAGACCCCCAGCTCTGCCCTTCAGTCATTTAGACCAAACGGATGCTATTGGTCTGTCTGATACTGTGTTCTTTCTCAAAGACCATAGTCTGTGGAAACTGGGCAGACTGAGTAAGCTATTAGAGTGAACTTCCTGGAAAGCCAGTCATGGATCAAGAAGGCAAAGCCAAGGGATGAAGTGTGTTTCTTTTCCCGAGAGATCTCTGGCAGGAGGGCAGTCTTCAGTTCCTGTCCCTGGCCCACATCCACCATCTGGTTCCAGACCACCAGATTGTCCACGATTCCCAGATTCCTTCCTCGGCTGCTTCCTATCCTACTCCATGCCTGGGTGCCACTCTCACATTCTCACCCGTGTGCACGCCCACACACATCACACATCTTGCTAGTCATACAATCACAGCCTGGCCTGATGCTGTGGGCCAGAGGCTGGACATCATTCTGGGACAGCTTAAAAGAGTCAGGGCTGGAAATGGGGCATCAAGGCAGTTCTGAATGCAACTGAAGAAATCCACACGGCTCAAAAGGAGGATCTGGGGTCAGAGCCCTAGACTGGTGGACCTGGGCGGGTGAGTGGAGGATGGAATGGAGGAGAATGGAGGGCAAGGGTTAGAAATGCAAAATGTGGGAAGAATGAAGAGAAAATGAAAAAAGGAAGCG